GTTTTCCTCTCGTCTGGCTGAACGAGCCATGCTCGATATATCCATTAGAGTTTCGGATGAGGATGCAGAAGGGCATCGAGAGCTGGATTGCTCAATTTCGACTGCGAAGAAAGCAGCTCCAAAACTTCGGCACAAAGCACATTACACGCCTCAGAGTTACATTGAGTTACATAAATGTCTTCATGAACGAACGCTGAGACGACTTCATTGTGCTCCCGGAGACCTCCCTGCTGAAGCATTGCTCCGTGGGAGGACAAGGGTTTCCGAGAAGCGGCCTGTTATGGCCTTTTGTGTCGACTAGCCAACCTGTGGCTAGCTTTCGCTCAGTCAGCCCAATCGAACTGGGTACCTAATGATCGAATACAGGAAAGGACCCGAACTTTCTTCGAGATTTTTCGTCATTCATCATCGAGATCGAACGATCAGATTCGGTCGAGGAACAGACGAACGGGTTCGGAGGAGATCCTTCCGCCCAGGCTGGAATTCGCGTTCGTATGAAGGTCCGAACTTGGTGGGTGCACGTTCTGCGACCTTCGAGGGATTTCATGCCGAGTGGCTCTCTGCATCAAGCCGAGGAGATCCTTCGGATGGCTCAACTCGAGTCGGCTTGGTCATGGTCTCGCACCGGTGATGACAATGCACTCTAAGCCAAAAGTCAAACCAACGTTCCGAGTCAACTACGGGGATTGCCACCGGCGCGGCGTCCGCAGGAGCATATGGTTTCAGAGATTCCGCTTGCGCGCGGGTCAGCTTAGCGGCAACTTAGCCCGCGATTCAAATCGTCGGCCGATGGAAGCATCGAGGGAGAAATTGACGAATCGTCGTCAACGTCGTTCTCTGTATTGTTGAAATAGACCTCACACCACGAGAGAGTGTTGTTCCGCTCTGAGCGAATGCTGCTGACCGGTGACTAGTTGAACAAGCAGGCAATCGATCCACCGGCCGACCGAGTGAATTACCGGTGAGCTAGCCAGGTCTGGCACTGTCTCGGTGCCCACTGCAGACTGGCTCGATCGCGAGCACGTTTGCGGGTCGAAAACGAACAACGGCGTTTTCGACTGACTGACTGAAAATCGAGTCTACAGGCTGTAAACGAGACTGGCGGCATGCCGTAGAGGGATCTCTTCCCACACTCTGAACCTCGACCGGAGACAGACGGATGATGATGATAGAACCAGACGTGAAAATGGTTGAGAATTAACTCTCGTCAGCTACCTGACCGCTCTTTCAGTCCGTGAGCGTATCGTTTTGCTGAAATGTTTAGAAGCTTCTCGCCGGTTGTTGGGGCTGCTACTCGTGTTGTGAGCTTTTGCTCGTGCCGGAATTTTCAAGAGCCCAACTAGGTAGCTGCGAGCGGAAGAGTCGTCGACTTGTCCACTTGAGAATCGGCAACAACGATAACAATAGCAGCGGCGACCGATGGTCTTTGCCTTTCAAAGCAAATCGACGGAATGTGAGCAAGTGCAACTTCTACCACGAACCGAGTGACGGGGACAAGCTCTGCTGCTGCTGCCTCTGTGGCTAATCGTGACGCAGAAGAGATGCACTCTTCGTTTGCTAACGAACAAGTGTTCGGAAATAGCTGCTCGCTGTCCTTGGCCCTGAATAGCTTGGGTATGTCGCCATCCATGTTCGGCGTTCCGTGGTATGTATAGCGACCGATGGCCGTGATGAGCATGTATTTATGCCTGTCAGGATGCTCATGCCGCTCCGGCAACGAAATCCTTCTCGAGCAATGCTCCATGTGCGTTCCTCAAGGAATCCAATTATCATTATCTGAAGTCGTCACCTAGAGAACATATCATTCCGGAATGTTTCTTTTTCGGTTTCCCTAGGGAAAACCCTGATTCGCGATGAACTCGACCGCAGAGGGAAAGCGTATCCGCCGTCGAATGGCCGCGAGCTCCGGGTTCGATCGTCTGGCTGAGCCTCTTCCTCAACTCTATACGGAGCCATCTTCGGAAGAGGTGGGGTTGGTAATTAAAAAAAGAGCAAATATTTGCTCTGCAAGCTGGAGAAAATTGGCGAGGGAACGCACGACAGAGTAGAGCAGCTCCGCATGTAGGTAGAGATGTGGTCCGGCGCTTTCGATCCGAAAAACGTAGGCTTTCCTTTTCCCCACTCTGGTCCTTTGGAGTGGAACAGCACTGGGCGTACGGCGAAACTCAAAAGCTCCTCCGATTTGGCTTTTTAGAAGCCACCTGTCCGCTTTCGTTCCTACCCCAATCGTTTGCTCGGTTCGTGTAGCGAAGTTTGCCACCACTGGGCTCTCTTGTACCGAATGAGTCAGTGATGTGGACAGCAGCGAGGTAAGGAGGAACGTGTAGGTAGGTAGGCAGTTAGTCAGTCAGGGATGCAGGCAGTAGTAGCAGCCACAAGATCCCCCTCGCATCTCCGAAGCTATGTTAGCTCCTCCGTAAGAATCGTTTGGTTTGTAGTAATTCTTCGCCCATGGGAACGCGTCGGGGATTGCACTGACGTCATTTACTGTCAATCGGGGATCGTGCTTGTGGCAGACAGGGAGCTCGGCGAGCAAGCGGGCTGTTAGGCAGGCGGGCAGGTGGGTGGGTGGATGGCCATGCCGAAGCGTTGAGGCAACTTGAGGGGTAGGAGCATATACCTCTTCGATTCGGTGCTTCTGAAGGCGTTCGAGCTCATTTTTCGTGGCTCCTCTACGGTGGGATCCCACCATTAGACTCTAGTGCTCCCATCGGAAATCGCTGCGAGGCTCGGAATTTTCGGACTACCCACAGCGTGGAACTGTCGATCATCCCGAGCAGACGATTTCGGCAGAAACCGAATATCGAGCGAGCCTTCATGTCAACCCTATCGGCTCAAGATCTTTGTTCGTTGTGGCCGCGCTCACTCCGAGAGAATTAGAGCTGGATTGAATTGAGTCTAGAGGACGGAGTAGAGCACAGAGCAAAACGGAGACGTGCGTATCCGATGTCGCCGACCTGAAAGATGGATCTATCCCAAACTCTTGTGTTTCGGTTGATCAGCGAGCATGGCAATTGTTGCTGAAAGTCAACTCGAGATTCGATCTCTTCTCCGCTGTCGAGTTTTTCACATCTGCCGCCGTCTGTTCGCCGGTACACGACTGTTAAGTACCGCCGAGCAGCAGCAACAACGACAACAACGTTACAACATTGACGAATGGCTCAGACCAGTCGTCAATGCAATGTTGTTCTTCAGATAACCACTCAAACCGGTGGTTCTTGGGCTCTTTACCGCCGCGCGTCGCGCTGCGCCAGTCTGCCGGCTCGCCGGCCACCGAGAATACAATCAAAACTCTGCTCTCGTTTTGAGCCACGTGCCTAATTGCTCCATATGGTGTTCGCCGGGACGGGCATGCTGGCAGCAGCAGCAGCAGCAGCGCGGCAACTCGGGGTTCAAGCAGCGTACTTTGATTGGATAAAGGTTGGGTTTCGTACATTTCACACATCTGGGTTATTGTGACGACTGTAACAGCGTAAAGAGCCGTGAAAAAGACGCGACCCGGGAGGAGGGGAGGACGGCGGGAGAAGACGAACGGATCCCGAGAGGGGACGGAGTTTTTCATTGCTGGCTGCCAAAACTAGTTTACAACTCCATTGAGTGAATCGTAGGGGGGGGGAACAACCCCATCTGGTGATCGATGCGGTTTCTGACCGACGACGACGGTAGCGGTGAGCGCGCGCGCGCCCGCAATTCGTGTCACCCGATCTTGCTATCCGGTGAGGTCTCTGCGCGTAACCTTTCGAGCTCCGGTGCTCGTTCCGTTCTCCTTGTTCTCATTCTCGTCGTCGTCGTCGTCGTTGTTGTTGTTCTACTCGCCGTTGTCGCTTCTGTTTCTGAAGTTGTTGTCAATGTTCTCGCGGTGGTGTTGGTGCAACCGCGAAGGCAGAAGCCAATCGAAGAAGACGTCCATCAAACGGCTACTGCATCTGCTTCGAGCGTGAGCTAGCAGCTGTGAGCGAGTTCTTGATTTTGGATTCTATCAGAGATCCTCTTCGCTCTCTCTCCCTCTCTGGATCGAGCAGATTGAGACTGCATTCATTCTGCATAGTATGTGATACCTGACCTGTAATTCCCTTGGTCGATAGGGTGCCGTCCCGCTCGGTTAGCTGAGTAGCTAAGTGGCTGGTGGGCTCGATCGTCATGTGAGCGAGCGAGCGTGCGTACACTTCGATCGGTGTGAGTGAAGGAAAAGAAGAAACGAGCGAGATGCAATTTACTTTGTAGGCTCGCTAATTTGGTTCGGGGTCGCTGAGAATATCGGACTAGGAAATGACTAACAAAACCCATTAATGAAACGGCATATGCGACGGTGCCTCTTAGAGGCACCTAATCGTAAGATTCGCACGAGGAATTCGCTACTGATACTGAAATTCAGTCAAGTAGTGGCTGGTTCTGCGGTCCGTGTCTCCTCTTGCTTCTCGTGCCGCCAGACAGGAGGGCATTTCTATTTTCAATGTTATCCTCGCCGATAATCATGAGCTTTATTCAAATTCCCCTCATGGATCCCCAGCGAATCAATGGACTTGACCGGCATACCCTCAAGAAGCTCTGAAGTGAAAACGACGGTGACTTGACAGAAACTAATCAGCTGCTGGAAATCCGAGTTTCGATCGTGAATTCGGACATCGATGATTCGCCGAATCATTCGTTTTTCGGGAGCTTCATCCTACTGCATCTAGAATCTATTTGGATCGAAACGCCGTCAGAATCGAAATCTAATGAGCCCCTCGTTCTCATTCCAGGTAAGGCTCAGCTCTAAGCGAAGAGCAATGTGAAGCCCGTGTTTCTGTGTTCATTGTGGTTTGTGCTGGCTCCAAGTGGTACTAAACCGGCAGAATTAAAGTGAGCACCGTGAGCTACAACCGTACGCACACCACCATCGAGACCCCAGCTGCTTGACAGTCCGTCTCGTACTCGGAGCGAACTGGCTGGGCAGTAACGGAATAAACGTGGGCATGCTCACATCCGAAGCATCCGTGAAACTACAGCTTGTATTGTAGCCTTCGCAGGGCGCTTTCGTATTGGCCTTTGTGTTCGGAAATGGCTAAATGGAGCTCACTCCAGTATCCAGCTGCAGCGTGACTTCAACACAAGAGCAGTTTACTGTCCCAGTAGAAGACGGAGCTGAGCTTCCACGATCCACTCGTTCCTGGAGCTTAAGGAGAGCTCTCCTTTGGTAAGATTTCGTCGATTAGTCATGAAGATTCCGGACGATGCCAACTCTTCGCATTCCTTCGCATCGGTCCTCTCTCTCGCTCGCTAGCCTGCTCGTCCGCCTGTCTCTCGCTCTCTCTGTCTCTCTGCCTGCTGACTGCTTGCCTGAGCATCGTCTGCCTGGAATTTCCACGAGCTGAATCATTGTTCCGACTCGTTAAGTCTCGACGCATATTTGTCAGCTATACAGATTTCAGCTCAGCTTCCTCGGATTCGAGGCTGTTGGTCGCGAGTGCTCGACGTCATTCAGGAGATCGATGACAGTCGAGAACGGTCCCAAAGATCGGCACGGGTAGTTGCACTGGGTTTCGAAACGACGACCGCAATCGTCTCGGAAATGATAAAGGTCTCGCATGGCAATCTCGGGATTTCAAGCAATTTCGTTTGGACTTCGCGCTTTCCGATCCGGCGGCGTTCCCGGATCGGGGATCTCCCATCGTGCAATCGATGGTCGACGAACGTTGGCTGGGATCCTGGAAGGGAGATCGTATCGTGTCGAATGCGAAATTTCAAGGTCGAGGCATCGCGTTCCTCCCCGAGAATAGGCTCATTGTGGCGTGAAATAGTTGATCGCGCACCATCACCATAGATATGGGAAAGTTCCGCCCGGGTCCTTGGAGCACCGATTGACAAACTCGCCTTCGGAGGAGGTATATTCCCTTCGTCTTCGGAGGTGAAATCGTTTTTTTCCCGGATTTTTTGTTCGACGTTCGCTCTTCCAGAGCCAAATCTCTGTCGAGGTGCTGATCGAGGACATCGTTGGAGGGTACTTAGACTAGGTCCCTTGATCGGCTTCAATATTTCTTACTATCAGAAAAACCTCCTTCTGCTGGCGGTGCTCGCTCGGGCTCCAAAGCAGCTTTTCGGGATCAGAATGCAAAAACGTCGAACTAGCATCACGCGTCCCGTGGCCCCTTATCGCCGCTAGGCCATGCAGTCGGAGAACTAGGGACCTGGCCTCCTATCGAACGTCGTTCCACCTCGTGTTGGTTCCAAGCGGGAAGGACAAATGCGATTTTGATTATGCCTCTTCCGTTGGTCGCTTGTCGACTCGAGAAGCTCCCTTAGCTGTTGTTGTTGTAGCTCTCCTTGCTGCTGCCGTTGCCTTCAGCACGGCCGCTCTGCCCGGGGGTCACGGCCTGTTGCATCGAAGCGAACTCGACCCAAATAATCGGGACCGAAGCTCCTCTGCAGTATATCTGTGAGCACTGTTGCCGCAAGAGACCGGAACTGGGAAACTCGGAGGGTTGCGAGTCCAAGCTGCCGTACAAGAAGAATGGAAACTTTCTCCTCGAAGAATTCCGACCGAAAGTTCCCAACGACCTCTGCTGGCTTTTGCTTGCCAGGGCAAAAAAACTCCACAAACAAGTCCACCTTGCTCTCGTGAGCGAAATTCGATGCTTGGCTCACTAGCCGGCCGGCCGACCGCGCCGCGGTTGATCGGTACTTTCCCATCGCGGACCATTAGGTTTTGGCTGGAACCTGTCTCACCGTTTTTTCCCAGGTTGAACATGGTTAACATGACTGTAAGTGGGTCTCTCCGTCTTGATTGTGTTGCTCGAGTAGCGTTTTCTTTCATTCCGAGCAGTGTGAACAAGCCCGAGCGGCACCGGGAGCATAAATGGCAAAGTACCGGCGTCAACGGCGCGGCGGCTACAGTCGGCGGCGGCGCTAGAGCTGTTGGAAGAGCGGCCAGGTATTCTCCAAACGATAGAACGGACTTTGGATTTTCAATGGTTGCTCAGGCGGCCGACATCTCGGCGAGGTCTGCATTCACCTCAGGCGTGCCGTGTGCGTCGCCGGCGAGCGTTAGTTGTGTTTAGTTTCGAAGTGTACAAAACAGAGAACTACAGAAAGAAATTCGAGTCCGTCCACCGTCGAGCCGGTTGCGAGGCGGGCAAGCGGCAGGATTGACCGGGCGACCGGCCGGCCGGCCGACGGACGGACGGACAGAAACGCCGCACTTCTATCCGTTAACCGTGAGTGCATAGCACCTATCCCGAAGCGCTGATCTTGGTCTCCAGCGCTTCCCATGCATTCTTTTCCTCCTCGAACGAGCGTCCATAAAGTGCTCTGTTTAGTGTGATGCGCTTTCGAAAGGCTCACGCAGTCAGCAAGGCAAGCAAGTGAGCAGGTATCCCTGGCCTTTAAAAAACGGAGCAGTTACGGCAAACCTGTGAGTTCGCCCGACTTAACGCTATGGCCACCACTTGTCGACTTCGTGAGCACATTTGCTCAAGCTCACTCTTACTACCTTACTTCCTTGGTCGAAGCCAAGCGCTCAGGTGGCGTGCTGTTCCGTGGTGCTGTTTGTTACTAATAACCTGCACTGCCGATGCGCTCTTAATGATCGCACGGATTCCATTTGACTGTTTCCGAGAAGATACTGTGAAGCTCTCAGTAAATATTTGCCTCCTGACTTCCCCTAATCTTCTCAATCCAGTAGCTGACTCCTCGGTCGTGAGTAACTCGTATCGACCTACGACCCTCTACAGAGCGACTTCGTTTCTGGGGGATCCCGTCACTTGGAATCGGGCAGATAATAAAGAATCATGAAACATCCTTCTGCGGGAACTCAGCTCCTAATTATATGTGTTGTCTGTCCCATGACGAAGTTTGCCGCGGGAAAATCCCGTTTTGGATGTCCTGCCTACTTTCTGGCTACGGCTGTGAATTCCTGAATCGCGGAACCTCATTTCAGGACCCCGAATTCGAGCTCGGAAAATCGTAATTCCTCATCTGGGGATCCAGGTCTAAATCTCGCAGCACGCGTATCGATCGGCCGCCTATCTCATCGATTCCACAGTCATCCGCGATTCACGATCTAATCCGAGAATTTCTGGACGGAGCACGGCTCAGTAAATTCTGCATACAGGGACTTCTATTGAATTTCCAATGACTGTTCAGGCGGGTCGCGGAATCAGACTTCTAAAATGAATGATCCGCAGAGGGTGTCCAGAATATGCGGACGCGTGCGGATTATCTCCTACCACAAGTGGACGGGAGCTCGAGCGAGCTCGGATCCGAGACGAGATGATCACCTTCAGGTCTGCGGGCCATCTGAACTAAATATTTCCGGTCACGGCGAGAAATCGCCAGTTTTAAATCTCGGGAAACACTTACGACAGTCACTAACTCGTCATCGACGTAGGTAATAATCGTAGAGCGATCCAATTCCCGCTTTCGTTCAGAATGGTGGAGAGACATTGAAGCGGAATACTCTACCAAGGGTATTTTTCCTCCCTCGAAAGCTCTGCTGTTGAGCTCTGCGAATCCAAGCCGGACTCCACCGTCGGTTCAGGCACCCCAAACTCACCCTTCCTCGTATACATTACCGCTCGGGTCGACGAGCTTCATTTACTGTCTGGAAAGAAGAGGAATAACCTCTATAATTATAAACATACAACGACCCACTTGGCCACGGAGGGTTATTTCCTCCCGAGTTGCATCGAGGTACGTCCGTTCATTACGTCGCTAGCGGGCTTAATGGTTGGAAGCGGTCGATATGCGGACGGCCTTCAAAGATCAAATTTTGCTCGCTTGTGCGTCGAACAGACAGATCCCATTCGTTCGGTCCTAGCTGATCCGAGTTGCGAAATGAAGTCCGAATCGAAGAGCGCAGAATTCGTTCCGTGCTCCGCTCAGGTCCGGATCGGCGGTCGGAATCTCCAGCGCCGTGCTGCAATCTTCTATGTGAGTGAATCGGTAGTCTCCTTCGAAGTTTCATCACTTCACTCGACGACGAGCTGACAAGACTTATCGGGCATGTGACTCCATCGACCAGAATTCAATGATACTAGTCCCCTCATGAGCCCCGTCCTGGAGTGGCCCGGGCTTCACTTGGCACGTGATTACGGCGCCGAACTCATCCGACGGCTCTCGATGCTATCACAACAGCTATACGAGTCCTCGCGGTCGAAACGACATCGATGTTCCGACATCGGATCTAGTCGAACGAGTGGAAATGAGTCCGGCACTAGAGCGGGAGTAGTACTTCCGTGTGTGGACGTAACTGCACCGTTGATTAGACTTTTTCGGACGCTCTGAAGGAAATAAAGGAATTCTCTCATTTCTTGCCCTTCTTTTCCGCCCTTCCCGGCGAGCGGTCCGTTTACTTTCCGAGAACACTTACGGAGTGTGCTCTTTCGGCGTCCCGAAGAGCCGCCTGGACTCACCGGCTGCCTGACACGGTGTCAGCGAGTCAGAATGTCTCCCGGTCACTCCCACGCCCGGAAATGGCTGTACATCTGCTGAGCACGAAACTCAGGAGCTTGTGTCGGGCTACCGTCTGGGTTCGCGACTCCGGAGACCGAGGAGAGCAAGCTAGGCGAGCAGTCTTTTTGGAGCGTATAATAGCGAATGAAAAGCCGAATATAGGGTGTTACCTAATTTTCTTTGCGGACCGGATGCGTCGAATCCGGCGATATCTGTTCGGGACATGACGGTACATTTTTCATCCGCTCTCGTGCCACCCAGTCGGGCCGCTGCCTGCCACCGTTCCTCACCCCACCGGCTCACCTCGGAGAAGCGGAAAAGTTAAATTTTATGCCAGCTGCGGGTGCGTCAAACACATTTACTGCTCTCGACAAGACGGGATTCCCGAATGATACCCAGCTTCAGGGCCACAAGGAGTGAATTCGATTAGACTAGGGATTTTTTTGCTCCTGCTCATTTCTGTTCATCTTTCCCTCCGCTTCTCGTCTCGAGTAGATTGCTCCCGGCCTATGATAGCCCGAACGAAAAATATGGGGTGCTCTTGATTGCCAGCGAATTGTGGGAGGAATAATCGATGCCACTGGCGAAACCACTTTCGTTCCCGGCTTCCTATCCCACAGCGGGGCTCGTCCGGCTCCGACCCCTCCGTTGTGATTCTCCTGCTCCGCTCAGGGATGCCCGCAGAAGGACTTTTAGGGCTATGATTGGACATATATGATGCTTTTCGCATCGTCTGTATCGAAAAGAATTCTTTATCGAGCGAACCACTATATGTATTTCCCCCGCCGTAATCTACCGTGAGCGTCTCAATTTTGGTACTCGGTGTATCGCTCTGCCGGTTCATCGATTGACGCGCGGCACTCCACCTCACTGAGTGGGGGCAATACTGGCCCGGACGAGTTTTTCCATGCTCAGGGAAATATTACCTATCTCGAGTAGTCTCCAAGGAATGCCGAGTCTCATTTTGGACCACAACGGGAAGCTCTGAAAGGCTTGATTACTTCTTTCTATCCATCACAACAAAGGTGTGGCCAACGCTCATTCGAATGGAATTCTTCTCTGAGAACCAACCTGATCGCGATCGGGCAGGTAGATCGGCAGTCAGGCGGGGGGCGTCTTCTTACGCTCACTGCTTGTTGATTCGGACCAGATTCGTGTCTGTCTGTGCGTCTTTATTAATTTCACCGTCCTTTGAGTTCTTCTTTGTTTCGTCTCGACCTCTTCTGTTGGGGGCTCCGCGCATAACGAGGATGCGAGGCAACAGCACAGCGACCGTGCTGTCTGGGCGCGAAAACAAGGAGTCGGAAGCACTTGAACCTTCGTCGTACGCTCTCGACTCCCGTAACGATACGGAGACCGGTGGTCGACCAGGCGGCCAAATATTTCTTAAGATCAAAGGCCATAGTTTGAGGGTTTGCTTCTGCGCAGTGTTCATCGACCACGTTCAGGGGAACACCATGGACTCCTGGCATACGTAGCTAGAGTGAGCGTGCTACGAAGATTATCTCCATCGAACAGATAAGGTTTCGGCTTGGTTTTTGGGAGAGGTCGCATTTTTATTCGAGTCCCTGCACTGCGGTCTCCTACCGAGTTCTGATCCCGTCCCAATTACCGTGATCTCTGGTACAGGTGGCACGATTCATTTGAGTGATCCTTTTGTTCTGTAGTTGAATGAGCGCCGGCCACGAAATTTCCAGTCTCTCCCCAAACCCTTTCTCAGAATATGTTAGCGCCTGTTCCACTGCAAGAACTGAGAGTAGAGAGAAATGCCTCTCGATATTAAACTCATCGCTCTTGAGTGGACTGCTCAAAAATGTTCTTACTTCTGCTCGATGGTTTCGTCACTTTGTGAAAATTAGCGTCCGCGTGCTCGTCGAGTGCTGCTCTCATGTTTAGTGACACCGTGTGCTGAATAGTGACACCGTGTGCTGAACAGTGACACCGTGTGCTGAACAGTGACGACCTTCTCTTATGGTGTTGGCTTCTCCTGTACCTTTTCCAAATGCTATATGGTTTCCAGGTACGGCTCCACATGGCTTGAAATTGTGTTTTAAGTAATGGGTGGTAGGAGTAGTTGTGGTAATTTTCGAAAAATTGGGTTGGGTACCTGTTCGTGTTGATCAACGGGCTCGATCTCGATGGAGTACGAAAACGAGTCCATCGGACCATCGACGATTGAGACCAGATCAGTTCACGGGCTGGCGTCGCGGCTCATAGACTAGTCAGCCGCGTGACTTCGACGGGCTGACCAAGATCTGCACTCCGGTTCCCGGATCCGTCCCTGTCCTTTCCAGTTCGAACTATAAATAGTATCCTGTTTTTTTTTATAGCCCAAACTCCTCTAACTCTTCCTTCATTACTAGACGAGCAAGTCGTTCCGCGAGGAGTTCCCTGACGTTCGACCGAAGGGAGGTCAGCGCTATCTTGGGTCGCTCCCCGTGTTGACAAATAGTTTGGTAGTAGCGAAAAATTCGTCATAATTTTTGAACTTGATGTCACACGGCCGTAATATTTTAACGCTCACTCTCGGCTAACTCACTTATCAGGACTGGAACAACGGGGAAGAATGTCTCGAGTGGTCGATTCTCTGACACGCGCGGAAGCTCCCAAGTCGGAGCAGAAGGGAAGAACTCATCCGATAGTGGAGCAGCGGAGTGTTTCACTAAGTGGATCAAAGGATCTTTTTTCTCGAGTGAACAACTCACAGGCCGTGGTCGAAACTGGTTACATGGCCAGCGCGCGTGGATATTCTTCGGTACCCCTACGTCACGAAGAAACGTCTTCATTGATGCGATGACTTACTCGGTCGGGTCCGTTTACTGACAGCTCAACATATTCTTCATTTCACGACTCACGTGATCGAACACCGTCGGATCAGATTAACGATGTAGTCACCGAATACCGGCGGGCTCTGTCCGGGTAAATCGGTGCTAATCCGAACAGGACGCGGTCCGTCAAACGCTCCCTGGTGCCGTTCAGGGAGGAGGCTCGGCAGAAAGTTTGGCGCGAGCCAGGCGACCTCATCCTTGACATTAGGTCGCTCAAACGATCGAGTTTGTTTCGATCTGATATCTCTCAAGATGGACAATGGCTTGCGAGCGTAGTGCATTGGGATAATGCGAGCGAAACTCGCACTGGATACCGTTCTCGAGGGGCGTCGACGTGAAACTCGTGCCGTTTGAAACTTCTTCAGACTTCCGTATTCTCCATTTTCCTCGTCTCGAGAGCTCTCCGAATGAAACCCTTCTGCTTGTGCCGCCGCTTTGCATGGAAACTCTGGCGATCGATATGGATCGATCGTGCGATCCATCGATTGTAGACAATCACGCAGCCGGACCGTGGAATGACCTCTCAAATGAATCTCGACTGTCTTTTCCAGGTTGACTCTTGTGATTTTGGTCGCAACGTGCTGTAATGCTCTCATTCCGGTAAGTTTCTAATCTATTCGTCCAACACATGTATTATATATTTATATATATCTATCCTGAGAGCACGTAAACAATCCGCGACGGCAGGTCGGAACTTTGGATGTCCATATATCACGGCACAGGAGCTTTTGTCAAGTTTAGGGTACCGTAGGGCTCTCCGATTGAATCGCAAAAAAGGTTTAGAAGTTCATCGTTCGCGTGACCTCGGATTTCCGCTACGCTGAAAAGAACAATCGCGCAGTCGTCATAGATATTTTCGATTTTGTTCCAAAGGTCCGAATGACTGCGTCATTTTTGGAGATTAGAATTCAATCTTCACGGTAGATGACATTTGGACTTGGGCGAAGGAAGCACGCCTTCGGTGAATGAAGCTACAGTGAGCAGTTCTTGAAATTTACAAGGGCCTGCCAAGGGAATCTACGAGTGATCCACGTTCATTCGAGAAAAGGGTTCCGCATAGAGTGCGCGAACGTTCTTTCGCTCATGCGACGATCGATTCCAAAGGGAGTCTGGAGTATCCTCGCCTGGATGTGACGCGAACGCGAGTTTGCGATTTCCCGCCATGCCCTGGTTTCAGTGAGGAATTTGTCCAAGGTCCATCTCGAGGATCTCGGAGATTCTCTCCATCGCAATATCGATCACCTTGATTGGTTTATCAATTAATTTGGGAAAGTCCCGGCTCTCGCATTCAAGTACGACACGAGGGACTCGTGGTTTCGGCAAACGGTAGTATCGGCGAGCTGCAAAGCTCACAGCACGCGCCACTCCGAGCTTTTCGACGCGTGATAATAATTGATAATGCATGATGGGATGGAGGGCGCCGTGACCAGCGGAATGCCAAATTTAGTTGTTCGTTCTCAGGCTTCCGATGCCTACTGTGTCAATCGGACATCGCTGTGGCAAGGTCATATCGGAGCTCCTATAGTCTCCTTGAGTGGAAAGCGGTAGGCGTTTAGACGCTGTGGAATTTTCCAACACTTTTACGATGATACCGCAAGCAAATCGGTTGCTGTGCTCCACAAGGAACATCGAGCTTCCTCCGGGGAATCGCGGTCCATGAGTTCTCTGAAATCGGTCGTCATGCGACCTCGTCCAACGCACCTTCTCGAAGCGGTCAACTTTTCTTACGGAGAATGTTCCGTCGTGAGTGACGCTCGCTTGTCTGCGCGATCCTTCCGAGCGATAACTCAGCTCCTCGATCTTCCTTTTGCAGGTCATTCGCGGAGGACCTCTGAAACAGGCTGAACACGAGACGGCTTCCGAGTTTCAAAGTCTCCTTTCCAAAGATTGGCCCCCGATGGACGTGAAGCAAGATCTGGACAGCGTGAATCATCGAGTGATCCCCCTGGTGTTACCGACTCAACCGGTGCAGCACCGAATGGCGTCCGACGTTCCGGTGAAACGCTCGCAGAAAAACTCGAGGAAACTCCCGAGACGCACCAAAAAACATCGCCACGAGTCGACAACGTTCTCGAGTTCGACAACACCGGCGTCCTCGATGACATCAAGCATGGGTCCAACAACGTCATCGGCAGCGCTGTCGGCATCGATACCAACAATATCACCAGCTACGGCAGCGGCATCAACCACGACGACGACGCCGACTACCCCCACGATATTCTCGTTGGAGACCGCGTCATCGACAAGCACGACCTCAACAACGACGTCGACAACGACGGCACGGCCCCAGCCGCCGCCACCACGAAATCCAGCGATATTGGGTCGGGCCCGAACGCCGGAACGGAACCGACTAAATCACTCGAAGCGAAATTTAATAAAACTCAGGAGCCAATGCTTCCCCGGTTTCATCACCATCGGAACAACAGGGGTTTCCTCGAACGAGTTCGACAAGAGCACCGAATCAGAAGGTAAGCGAATCGGCATCTACTCGATCACCCAATCACACAGGCAGCTTCGGTGGTTTTATTCCTCGCGGGTTGGGTCTCTGATTTCCGATCGGCATGCTGTGGCTCTTGATGAAGTCCTTCGTTGCTTCCGAATTTCGATCGCGGCAAGTTCCAAAGAAGCGAATTCGAAAAGTGAGCCTTGCGCTGGTTCCATCCACAATCGGACGGCCAGGGCAAACTCCCTAATGGTAGAAAGCTGTTGCTCTTCGCGAAAGACGACAACGGAAGGCGGACAGCGAACGCTGAGTGAGACTTCAGAGCTCAACTTCCATCGACGATCGATGTCGAGCAGCATGCTGACCATACGCTCCTGTAAACCTCTCTAGGTTGCCTCCCTTGTGATTCTTTTCGAGAAATTCGAGAGCTGTGACCGAAAGTAAGATACCTTCCTCTGCATGATCACCACGGTTTCTCCATAAACACTTCTCGTCGGCCGGTCATACGATCGAATGGCGGTGACGAAGAAATGGTATTAGTTCTACATGCTTCTATGCTGGTATCCAAGTCTATTCCTCGAACTCTCACTCGCCCTTACTTCGGAGACTGTGTCTGGCGGGGGAATCGATATCACAAATTCAGCGAGGATGCTGACCCCTGCCACCATCCACTCGTGTGAGGAAAGACTCCTCCAGAGTCCCTTCCCCTGCCCGATGGGCCGACGTAGAGGCACTTCACTCGGAATCGAGGATCCTAGTCGGAGTTTCCTTTCTCCCAAAACCCTTTGCAGCAGCTGTTACGGCCGACTCGGGATTGGGGACAAACGGGAAGTTGAGTCCCCGTCCAGGAAGGATATACTGATGTCGCGTCATCGGTTGGGCGCAGACGTGGATGGGACTCATGACGGGGGAAGATGATGGTAGTTTTTGAACGTGTTCACGCGCCCCGGACCTCGATACTCGAGCGCTACGCCTTATGAGAGGAGAGGAGTTTCCGGGATTGCCTCGTTTTGTCTGAAATACGAGCCATCGGCTCGGGATTCTTCCTTTCTCTCTCTCTGACGGATGACATCAATTACGGTGCTTTTTCCACCGGTGACATCTGCCGACGAGTAAGCCTGACAGATAGCTCCAGATAAATTCGGTCAATTAACAATCCCTGATTCTCCTTTGACTTGACTTCTTGACTCCAAGATAGTGACTGATACTTCATGGGGGTCTCGAGTCCAGGCTCAATTCTGGAGCTCTGGTATCTCGTACCTTCCGATGGCAGCACCGTTGTCCATCAGTAATTGAACGATCCATCAGCCTTCACGGTTTCCGTGCTGCTGCTGCTGGTTAGGGTGACTCCTTTTCCATCGATAAGGCTGCGTAACGGAGCGTCTCGGGTCTCAGACTACGGCATCCAGCAAAACCACTCGCTGGGTTGGAAAGCTTTCTTCTGCGGATAAGTCCGAAGAGAGCCAACGAATGAGTGTCAGTGAGCTTCGGGTCCGAATAATTTCATGGAACTCTGGAGGACTTGATTCCCCCATGATAGTCGATAGCGGGTACCGGGGGTCAAGATGAGACTGTCTGGCAGTCGGTCGTATCGTTCGGGGACGAGTCCGAGCTTTCAGTGGGTACCTTCCGTTGTCAACCGCAGAAGTGAGAGAGGCAGGACGGGGGCGAAGAAGACAACTCAGCGGCTGCTGGCCTGGCACGTCAAGGGTTCCGGGATAACTTAGGTGTGCCGCGGAATTCCTCGTGTCGTGTTTCCTCGCCGGGGGATTTCTTTCTCGACCGCGACCAATAGTAACAGGTACCGAACGAATTTTCTGCTGTCTTCCTGTGCGACCAGTTGGGAATGGATGCACTCCATAGATCGAGCTTTTTATGAGTGAGATGTTCATTGAATGTCATTCAAGTGTCTATATGGCGTCTCCGTACTCCGATATTTTGTCTATTCAAACAAACACTGCGGGATGTCATTCTGTCGGAGCCCTTAAATCTCCTGGGGTATCTTTTTTTTTTCTTCTCTCCGTCGACGACCGTATGCTTTTGCACTTTGCTCGACGAAAATTTCGCTCCCCTTCTGAATAGACTTTGGACTTCGTAGCCAAAATTCTCCAGACAGCCATGTGAGTGTGTTTGACTCCGTGTGTATATAAATGTGTGAGCGCATGTTAAGTCTGACTGATGACCATCGTTGCGGTGTGGAGCGCGGACAATAGAGATGCGACCCATCCATGGCTAGCTTCGTCACCGGTTTTCTTTTTATTTGGGTGGACGGCCAAGAAACAGAGCGGGCGGGCGGGCGAACGGACAGGCGGTCGGTCGACAACGAGCTCAACTCGGATCCGAGCAGTGTCCTTTAATCCGCCTAAATCGCTTGCTCGGTCAGTTTCCATTCAGTCCGCTTGTTATTGAAGTGACAGAACCATAATCTCTGCGTAAATCTGAACCTGATTATGGTCGTAGTTGGTGGTTCGAAACCTGCGAGAACACGCACGAGCGTAGACGACCATCGAAGGTCATGCGCGCTTCCTTTCACGGATCAGTGAAAATTTTGATGGTCATAAGTGAAATCATCCGGCCAACGGGACGCGATCGTCTCAAATCAACAGAGAACGAGGATTCAGTTCTCTGCGGTTGTGACACCATGCGAAGCGTGTGTATCTACTGATAAATTTCCCTCATCATGTGTGTCCGATTTCAGCGTTCCTGGAGATAATTTCGCTCAACTCAACGAATGGGAACAAGACGGTGGTCGCCCTGCGCGGTGACAAGTCAGGGCACTACTTGTGTCTGCAGAGGCGGAGAGGCTTCGTTTCGAGAGTGAGTACGACTTTGTTGATTCAAAAGCACAATACATGACATATATTCGAAGCTCATCATGGGACCGACTCGATGGTAACGATCGGTGGCCGACGTAGCCCGATTCTCAAGCAGAGTCCACAGTTTCGTTGGGAGAGTCTCCCTCCGGGTTGTCATCCGATCGTACAAAAATCATAATACTCTGGAAAACTCCGTAAACCACCACGAAAAATACATAAACGACCAAAATGCATACGGTACAGTGCCGGATAGATCTTTCGAATACCAATTTCGTGGAAAGCTCGACGTCTTTCTCTGCGAAATTATCGGCTTGGAATTGTTTGTTGTGGACGAATTCTCGAACCCGTTGATGATGCTCATCCGTGGGAAATATTTTTTCGACGGGTACTTTCTGTAATTCGATTGACGCTCTGGCTCTCATTTCACCATAGATGGAGAGAGTCGAGAATGATCCGTCGGACCTCGAAGGCGCGACTCATTTTATACATTACAATTACAATTACAATCCTCATTGATACCTGGTGGCAATCCGTCGGAGGTTCCCACAAATTCTCCTCCATTTGCTCAAGGGCGTGTGCGTTCAAAACTCTGGGAGTTGAAGTACGGAATAGTTTTCATGGATAGAATATCGGTAACAATCGACTTGACGCCATTCGAATCCATCTCATGCGGAAGTAGGGTTCGTCACCTTGGTTGAACAAAGGAAGATCTGCGGAATTCATCGGGGTCCGAAGCGTTCGGGCGCTTTCCCGATTTCCTGTCCAGACTCAAGGAGCTCTCCATTCGATCTTCCTAGAGACAGAGCTTCGTTTTCTCTCACCGAAGCAGCCTTTCCGCCATCACCTCCGTCCATGCGATCCCGTATGAATAACTGAAGGTTCAAGTCTTCAGCGTCGTCATATCAAGTCTGAAGAAGATGCTGTTTAGAGGGCTTTCAACGACTTTGAACGGCGACGACGACGACGACGCATGAGGTGCTGCTGCGGTCTGACCGATGTGTGAGGTCTTTTCAGCTTTCAGACCTCCTCCAAAGAGACAAGTTGCTTCTATTTGCATAAGATTTATACCTTTATTACGCGAGCGGTCCATCAAAGTTGTCGGCAACGATGGTGCTGGCGGTGGCCGAAACGAGCAGTCACTCAGAAAGAGAAACAAAGGGCTTCCCGTCCTGATGAAGACTTCAGCGGGGGCTAGAAAAAAGGCTGACGACGCTTTTCGCCCAATTACTCAATCAAAGATAGTTTCACTCGTTTACCGAGAACACCGTCGGACGACGACCACGCGGGCAGCTCTAGAGGGGAGCTTCGAACATACACGCTCGCATACGAGCTTTAGGTCTGGCGATAAGACGACGGCGACTGTGACTCACTCTCTGACTCGCGACTACCTGCCTACTTGGCCGTCAAACTGACTTCCTGAAGATAACCGGAGCAGTAAAACAAAGATTGACAAACGGAAGACTCAACTCGGAGATAATGGCAGGCGATCAACGGACGAATCACTGATGCAATGATCGAGTTTAAGGCTCCGTAATGTTTCACTCGTGCCGTTGGATCGGCGGGCTTTGACCCCGCCGGAGAGCAATCCCCTCCACGTCGATGTCTTGCTGCGACAAGAAAGTCTTTCATAAAAGAGCGCGAAGCTTCGTCCCGATCGAACGCATTATTAGACGTGCGTGCTTACCTCTTGGTCACCGATGTTCGAGGTGCCAGCCGCGGGACAGACCCACAAATCGGCAGACGGGCGAGCAATCAGATGGCCGGACGGACAGACAGACCCTAGAAAGACAGGTGAGGACCGCCCTTCCTGATTGATATTGGATTCGGCGGCACTCATTCTCTTGAGATTCGTTGTCGTCGTCGTCTTTGCTGATTATCGGCAAATCTCATTCATCTCGTTGACCAGGTAAGCCTTATCAGGTTTTCCGTCTTGTTCCCGGCTCTAAGTCCCCGTTGTCATAATCGGTAGGAGGAGCGGCGACTGCCGGGGCGGCAGCCTTAAGACCCCATAGTTCACCCATTCCCGGGAATAGCAAACGGCTCATTTCGGAATAAAATCGGAGTGTTCCTCCGGAGAAGAATATCTGACGCCGAATTCTGCGATCGGCCGGGTCTCGAAGCGAAAGTGAGGAAGGAAAAAAGCTCATCTCGCGTTTCTGTTTTTAGCCGGAGCTTGCTTGAGGCCATGCTTATTCAATTACAAACGTGGCCGCGTTTCCCCTCACCACAAGAAGGCACATATTGCAATGCCCGACGCCTCGCTCAGTGTGTTTAGAGAGAGCGCGTCTTTTCGGAAATCAATCGAGGGATTTTTTGAATTGAGGAATTCCTGGGCGCCGCGCATCGATTGAGACATCGGCAAACTTTTCGGTGGTCTCGTCAAACTGTTACATCTCGGTGATGTATCCTTGTTGGATTGTTTGTCTTTAAGTGTGTTGTCGAATGCATCGGTTGACCTAATTTGCTGAAGTGAGCCATAAATTCCTCCGTTCAGAATGACGTTTTTCCGTGACTTGAGACAGTTCTCATGCGGGTCATGGGAGACCTCACGCAGGTTAGCGAGCAATAAACCTTCGAGCCTGAAGATGGACTGTGCTCATGATGAAGGAATCTCCGAGCGACCAATGTTCGAGCATCTAGCGGAATCATTCGTTGCGTCCATATTGCTCCGATGTGTTTATTGCACGAGCATTCAGCCTTCATGAGAGAATCGTAGGCATATGGTCAGGTGTTCGGGAAGCTCTGTATAATCTTCCACCGAAGGGTTCTCCGTCGGAAGAGTGAAATGACTCGAAAAGCGGAGAAGTCCGATCAATAATAAATAGGAGAACCATGACGGGGACGTCGGCAGTAGTCGACGAGAACTTCTCGCGCTGACAGAATAATTCACGTTTTCACGTCGACTGATGGGGACCACCCTCGAACATGAGGGCTCTGACAGATTCAGCTGCCCACGAGCCCGCACCTCATCACTCTGGTGGTCGTTCTGACTTTCTCGCCCCTTTGCCCCAATCGCTCTTGAATTTGGAACCCTGACACCGAGCTTGCTCTCAACCTCCGATGCCGAGCCCTGACCACCCTCATTAATGAAGTTTTTTCCCTCTGCAGAAACTGCGCCCGAACTCGATTCCACGCGAGTGTCGGTTCATCGAAAAGCATCAAAGCGGTAAATACGTGCGCTACGTCTCGTTCAAAGGCCCGAGGCGGTTCCTCAGCTTCGACGAAAATGGGAAAGCCGTCCCGTGGAGGAACCATAAAAGGCACCGACTTCATTCGAAGAGTTGCACAAATTTCCTGGTGGGTTCCCACCTGAATCAGACTCAATGCATCCCCCACCTTAGTCTTGTTTCCGCAACAACTCCCGGGTATCGCTTTTGTCGAAATGCCTAATCGTGCTTTTTTTCAGCGTGTTGCTCCAGCGAAGAGCAGCGACGTGAGGAAAATCATCCGCGAGCATCTATTGCCCGAGCCATGAAAGTCCATGAGGCCCTTTGTTTAAACTGCAAGAACCACCGAAGGCAACGCCTATAATCCGAAGAACAACGTTATATTTATTTTGCGAACCCCTACATACATATATATATATATATCTCATCGTCTTTGTCACTGCCGTAATTCGACGACATGTAAATTAGCAATGATCGAGTGCGCTTGGACGAATGACGCTAGCCACTGAACGACGAATCTCCTTGTGTCTTGCCTTCGCCCTGAATTCATCCATGAACCAGTCACCCCTAGGAAGCATTTCGGCATTTCCGACAATTTGCCTTCTCAGTTCGCTGCCTCTGCCCTCGATATTTATTTAGGTCTAGATGAACGCTCCGGCTCGGAACAGTGAAATGATCGAAGGTGTTCATTCGCTGCCGTATGTTTCAACCATTGGGTTAAAGAAAATTATTGTTTAATTATTAAAGGAAGTACAATTACAATTATTGTTCCGGGGAGCAAATCCTACCCAGAGTGCAAAACTGCAGAGTTGGAAATGTGAAGTTTCCTCGGCAGCTGCGGAAGTCGGATTGATTCGCTCGTTGACCATTCCATATTATACATTCCGTCTGTAAAATACGTCGTTTTAGACAATAAGTCGCCGGTGAGGTCACTAGTTGTAGGTCTCACTCTTGTGTACATCCTAGAATACGATTATCACTGATGTTTCGGCTCGATGGAATGTACGGGCTCGTACAGAAGTGGTTTCGAGTAGCTCCCGGTCTCACGCGCCGTCCCCACACCGTGGTCATCCGGATCGGTCGGGAAGTTTTCCGTCTGATATGAAATCTGACTCGAAGCCCATTTCTGATCGGAACACATCGTGCGCAGGATCCTTCGAGAAAGGCAGCGGAGGCGAAGCTCCTCAGTATTAAATCGATCACCATGTCGAACAACGGAGGAATCGAAGCTGAGATCAGACGAGCCGAGCACCGAGCGATGAAACGGCATCGTCTTATTCGAGCGTCGAGGAGTTCTGTAGCCACTCATGGAATAACTCGAAATTGTCATGAATCAACTGGTCAAAGTATTGAATGCACCACGAATTCATCTCACCTCTGTTTGCTAGGCCGGTGGTTTGCGTGTGTCAAATGTAACACTTCATGAGCGCTTCCCATGTTCATCACACCATTCGCCGGATGTCCACGAAGGTCGTGGAGGTCACCCATTCCGACACTCGTACGAAGGTTTCATGTGTAGATGATGTGGGATCACTTACAATTATTGCATAAAATAATATAATATGATGATTCAATCAGGATATCGTTTCGTTCTCGTTAAGAGGTTTCTTCTCGATGGTCCCTAGATTTACCTGCTCATGCCCCCGACAGAATCCCCGGAATTCATAGCATAAACTATCCGGGGGAATGGAGGATCGCTTCGAGAAACTGCGTCCGCGAGACCATAGCCAGCTCTCCGGTACTTTTGTCGTGGGGTAGATTCGGACATATTCTACTTAGCTACGAAATAGCTGTCCTCGGCTCGTGCCTATTCCGTGGTGCGCGGCGAGGTGAACGCTCGGCTAAGAATCGATCAGGTGCCCGGGCCGCTAGCCGTGACGACTTTCCGCCTTGTCAGCCTCGATCCCAGGGAACTGCCTCGAGAAAAGATGGGGCTGATGCTCGATCGGCTCTCATATTCTTTTTTCCAGGGACCTGGGAACATGTTCTATAGTCGAAATCATCTCCGTGTGGACTAGACCAAACAGCTACAGGTTCGCTTATCTTTTGAGGATTTTTGATGCAGATCCGAGAGAGCGAATTCGCCAGGCAGGGATCATAAGCGGAACCAGAACAATCTTCTGGCGGATGGGATCCTCCTCCCTCGAGCGACGTCAGACGCCAGTCCCTGAGAAAGCCTTCACGAATATTACAGAGAGAGAGCAATAAGCAACGCTTGCCCGGACAATGCCTTCTCTCGGGAGCAGCAGAGAACATCAGAACCCTGATCACACCAGGAATCCTCGAGAGCCTAGGACCCTAGGATTCCTAGGACCCCTGGGCATTCCCCGCGAGGGAGTCCCGAAGGTCGGCGAAAATACTAATCAATGTTATGATTTATGATCCTTCGCGAAAATACATTCGACATAGCTTGTCGAGCGGCGAAAGAAGACAGTCGTAGTGATCTCTGCAGGAATCCCGTCGGAATCCGGCTCACACAAAGCCCTCAAAATGAGATTGATCAAACATTTATACTCATTAGGGAATATATTTTGACGCCTCTATCCTTCAAGTCTCCTAACTATATGATCGATGTTCTCGCACAGCGTGGACACTTGTCCGAACGCTCGTCCCGTCGTGTTCTCTTTCGAAATGAGCCTGCCGTTGAAAGTGCCGATATTTCCGGAAATGTGGAGCCCTTGTTCTCCGAAGTTTACCTGCGAGATGAACATGTGGAAACACCAGAAAGCCCCGCAACGAGCCACCGAATGTTCGCAGGGGAAAGTATCGCTTTGCCACACTCGTGCGTTCGGGAGCGAGCGCTCAGCGGAGCCGAGCAGCGACATATTGTTATTCTCGAGCTGAATTCTGTGGAACACGATGGTCGGTAGGCATTTTAGGTGTGGCATGCTCCTTCTCGGACTAATTATGAGTCAGACACCTACATAACAGGATTGATCGAACATAGGCGGAAGTAGCACAGGTGTTAGGGAGGAACTTGAACTTGTTTACCGATGCTTAACGTTCGAACTCACTATCACGAGACAGACTTGCCAGTGTGCTTGGTAACCCAATGATTCGAGGTCTAGCTGGGAGGATTCTGGATGAGGTCCATCAGTCCTCGCTGAACGAGACATATGGATTGTCACCTCGCCGAGTAGCGTCGCCACAGTGGGGCCAAATCGAATTTGAGGTGGACAAAAGTCCATGGATATTCGTCCCGGAATTTTGATCGGTGATGGGTTCGCAAATGTTCGTGAGACTCGGAAAGTCGCGAGGGAACCGTGATTACCGAATTCCAGCCATCCCGGCAACTGCGAGAACGGAATTGGAATTTTTTTTGGACGATAATTTTTAAGAATTTCCCCCCCCCCCCAATCCGTGATGCTCGGAAATGAAGATACTTTGTGCGCTCGAATTGGGGAAAACTTATTCTCTGCGCTCAGTTCCCATCCTGATCTCGCAAGCCCACATGATTCTGGTCAAGTCAGCCGATTTTGGACTTGCTGTGAACTTTCGCCGAGACGAAAAAGTTCGGAAATTCGTGGAATTCTCGATGTCAGAAATGCAGTGTCCCCACGTGTCCCCCACTGATTTATCTCTTTTTGAGAAGTATCGGACCTCCACGCGCCGCAAAAAATGGGAAGTAATATTTCGGGCAGTTTAAATTATCGAGCTGGCAGTTTGACAAGCGGGCGCTAAAAAAAAAGATTCCGGGCAGTAATTTTATAAGCTGGGCTGCTTTCGTCGCCAATGGACAGTTTTTTCTTATCAAGATGGTAATTTTTTCTCATCAAGATGGGCAGTTTTCTTTTCCTAGGACGGGCACTTCTTCCAGCCTGTACAAGCTTCCCTCACAATACGGGCGCAGGGCTTGAGCTCTATTTATATCGACTGGGAGAGCTCTCGAAGCCTTCTTCGTTCGACCCGCCTCCCGTTTTGGGCGCAAGTCAACTTGCGCGCAGGTCCAATTCGCGCGCAGATCCATCTTGAGCGCAGATCCATCTTGAGCGCACCGCCAATTTAGCGGAGAATCTCCAGGAATCTGAAAATCTCGAGACGCTTTTTCCGGGGTAGTGCCAATGATTATGTCAGGTTCCCCCGGTCGAGCTACCACAGGCGAGCAAAGCGAGCATATCCGGCAAGTATTACACTGTGAGGCGGACTAAAGCTTAGTTTCGGTGTGGCGCGGGACCACTTTGGACCCCAATGGATTCGGAACTGCCGCTTCGAAAACCGCCCGCTCTATAAATTGACAGCCCAGACTGTAAAGAAACTGCCGATTGGTTTAGGAATAACTGCCGAATGTAGGAAAATAACTACGCGGAAAATGTAACCAAAGAAAAAAACAATTGAACCGCGAAACCCAGCGGTTCTCGAATACTGTCTCCCCAAAGTTGGGATATGATCTCGTGGATCGGGACCATTCTCATGTAGTCTTTCGGATCCGAATCAGCACCAAGTTATTGGCGGCCATATGTCGGAGATGATTGAAGCTTTCCTCCGTTCGGAGACGCTCGCGTCGCGTCTTGGCTTGGCGTTGACTCCTTCTCAGAGGTAACTGGAGAGCGAACAGAGAGCGACAATGTTCTCCAACTCATATCCACCAAGATCTTCAGATCCTCTCATAATCTCTATGCGGCGATTCCCACGGAAAAATAGAAAGCTCTGGATCCAGAGGTGCGATGCTCACTCGACTACCACTCATTAACGGAAGACGTTGAATCGATAGGAGACGACAATGTTGGACCAACAGGAGAGGACTCAGAGTACCCTGAGGCTCTGAGGCAGCTTCCGCTGGCTCGAGCGATTCAGCTGTCGATGAATGAGTTTTACGGAGTTGAAGGAATCCGCGTAGAATAAAAAGTGAACTCCGTCCCCGATCGATCATATCATGGTTTTTCCTCATATTGTGAGCCCATCCCGCTCCCTGTGGTGTTGGACATGCTTTCAGCAGTCTTCTTCCGCTGCATTTCAGACTCCCAAAACCTCAGAAAGCTGAAAAATACATGCAACACTTTTTTCAACCTGAAATACGATTTTGCCCACTGCGGCGTCGCACAGGGTGGAGAAACCCTCTAATCCCACTCAAACGTTCGATCGCCGATATGAACGAATTAAGGTTAATGCGAGTACGGAGCAAGCCTTCACTTCGGTGCTCTTATCGCAAGAGATTCAGCTCATTCAGCCCTGCGATTGATTTTCAGACATGTTCAGTTTCGGAGAATCGCCGATTCAGAGCGTCCATTCCGTCGTAAGAATGATAGATCCTGAGCGAGCGCTGAAGATCGAACATGGGTTTTCCAGGGAACTTTGCATTGCCGGAGGATTTATTTTTTTTCAAATATTCTTCTTCCCCTGCGCTGCAATGACTTCTCTAAAAATTGTGGAGAGTCGTGTGTCGAATTGAACGTCCCTGATCGGAGGTGCTCCTTCCCGTCGCATGAAACGAAGCTCGTCTAGTCGTCCGGCGCTCGTGAAGAAGTCCGCCCCAATCTCGCTGAGTTTGGCGTTCTTGCTGGGAGGCGCCACGGTGAAATGTTGGAGAATTTTCGTCAAATATATCGATGAGCTCATGTAGCTGAACTCTCTCCCTGGACATGCTCGCTTCCCTCTGGAGAAGGTGCCCAGATTTGGATCATGGAAAAATTTGCCCTTATCGTCCAGAAATCTCTCCGGTCGAAATTCTTTTGGATCCACAAAGCGCGACGGGTTCATATTTTCCGAAATTATCAGCGGCAGAACCGTGATTTTCCTCGGTAATTGAAAGCCACCCGCCACGGTCGCCCTCTTCGTCAGTCGCAATGGGTACGGGACTGCGGGATACAGCCGCAGAGTTTCTGAGATTACTGCCTTCAAGTAGGACAGTTTGTCGAGGGAGTCCGTTGTCACCTCACCGCGACCGATTGCCTGCTGGATCTCGTCGGCTGCGCGCTGCTGCACCTCAGGATACAGGGCGAACATCGACAGCGCGGATAGCATCGAGTGCCATGTGGTATGCGTTGCCGCGTGTATGGAAACGTACGTCACCTCGCGCAAATAGTATATCAACTCCGAAGGGTCCTTCCTGCTCGCGGTGATCGCTTCCAGATAGTCGCGCGAATCGCTCTCTGTGTGGCTCGCTTTGTCTTCGTTGTACATTCTCAGGAGAAACTGCTCGTAGATATCGCCAGGGTACCCGAGGTCGAATCCCGTGACATACTTGATGAGCTTGTTGAGTGCCCGGAACAGGCCCATCGGGAGAAACTTGAAGAAAAAGGCAAGAAATAAGCCCATATGCGTGCCTATGATAACTCCTCGAACGTATAGGTTCAAGTCTTCCTCTTTGAAAAGGGAACCGAAAAACAGATGGATAACTTCCTGGTACTTCGACATCATCATCGGAATCCTGGGATCCCAGTCCGTTCCCTCGTGCTTCTCGATTTTTTTGAGGAAAGCGTCTGCAGTATGCCCCATTTTCTGCGCCATTTTGCTCTTAGGACCCGCGTAGACAGATGCGATTCCAAGTTTCCGGGATATCTGCCACTGATCCGTTTTTGAGGTACGCAAGCCGTCGCAGAACGACAAATCGTAAGTTCCCGTCGCGAACCACGAAAGAAAATCTGTGTAGTTGATTCGAGGCCGAGGTAAGCAGTCCGGGTTTTGCTGAATCTCTTTCACTACGTCGTTCTTGATTACTGCAAAAACGAAGGGCATCCGTACGATGACCACATCGGGAGCCGCTTCGAGGTATTTGTCGACAACCTTTCTGAGCCACGATTTCGGCAAGAATAGAATGAAGCCGTAGCCGATGAAGGGCAAGCCGTAATACAGCGGCGGTCCACCGGGTCT